ACAACTTCTGCAATATTATTAATACCTTTCAGTAGAGATCATTATTCAAATGTTGAGGCCTTTCAGACCTTTTACAGCTCAAGCCCAAATATATAGCAAGTCTTACCGTTTTTCCTGCACCATTTGGTCCCACCAAAATAGTTAAAGGACTAAAGAAAGTGATAATTTGTTTGTCTTTATCCTCCACCCCAAAACTCCTCACTCCGAGGATACTCATTTTCTCAATCCTGGACATTTTTGCTGAACTTCTTCTCTTCCAAAGTCAGAGGCATAAATGTCATAAATCCTGTAAAACAGAGCTTTGTGAAAAATCCAGTGGGCAGAAATCACAGTAGATCACTGAAAGCTGACTAAATACCTATACAAGCACAGCATATGATAAATATATATAAAAACACAGTTGAGGCTCCTCAGTTACTGTTCAAGGTAAAAAACATATGAAGGTAAAACCCTTATTTGTTTTAAACTCAAAAATTAATCAACTCCAAGTTAAGTGGAGTATAAATCAATGCAGTTAAGAGATTATATATCATTAAATCAAATACAGTGGCCCAAAATAACCCTTTATCCACATCACAAACCCCATGCATGTGCTTTTAGAATACCCCAAACACAACAGAGGCCCCAATATTTTTCTCTATGATAACCCACTCTTGTACTGCAACACCCAACACCGTTCACCACTGCCTGTTTCCCACAGGTACATCCAGCATCACTTTGTTGTAATTCCTGCTGGGAAGGGGAAGACACTGGAGCCTTCCCAGGCCATGGAGTGGGAGCTGCCCCTGTTGGGAGGAGGAACCTCTGACCCTAAGGCCCAGCAAACACAACGGTGCCATGTGAGTATGGCTGTGTATTCCAGGGGTGTTCCAGGGGTGTATGGCTGTGCATTCCAGGGGTGTTCCAGGGGTGTATGGCTGTGCATTCCAGGGGTGTTCCAGGGGTGTATGGCTGTGTATTCCAGGGGTGTTCCAGGGGTGTATGGCTGTGTATTCCAGGGGTGTTCCAGGGGTGTATGGCTGTGTATTCCAGAGGTGTTCCAGGGGTGTATGGCTGTGTATTCCAGGGGTGTTCCAGGGGTTTATGGCTCTGTATTCCTGGCATGTATAGCTGTGTATTGCATCCCTGTTCCAGGGGTGTGTGTGGCTGTTTATTCCAGGGGTGTATGGCTGTGTATTCCACCCCTGTTCCAGGAGTGTGTATGGCTATGTATTCCAGGGGTGTTCCAGGGGTGTACGGCTGTGTATTCCACCACTGTTCCAGGGGTGTATGGCTGTGTATTCCACCCCTGTTCCAGGAGTGTGTATGGCTGTGTATTCCAGGGGTGTTCCAGGGGTGTACGGCTCTCTGTATTCCATCCCTGTTCCAGGGGTGTATGGCTGTGTATTCCAGGGGTGTTCCAGGGGTGTACGGCTCTCTGTATTCCACCCCTGTTCCAGGGGTGTATG